GGCAAGGTGAGGCCATATCTATCTATCTAAAGCACTATATTGGGTTTGTCAATGGGCAAAATGTTGGTTTATGCTTGGATATGATGTACACATATTGGATCTGTTAAGTCCCACAATTTTTTGCTTGGGATGCGGTGAAAAATAGGGATGTTGTAAATGTGCAGATACTGGTTTTGCTCAATCTATGTGCAGATATTACATTGAGCAATTAGCTCTAGCAGTTTCATAAATGCGGTGTAAACCGTCAGAAAGTTCATATGATTCCTGAAACTGCTAGAGCTAATTGCTCAATCTATGTGCACTGCAATTGCTTAACATTCCAGTTTGTTTTCCTAAAGAATGTGTGAGACTGTGAGGGCATGGACGGTTGGGCACTGCAATCTGTTCTGCAGCTTAGCCCCAGAGCCATTGACCCAAGTACTCTCAACTCATTACGAATTAAGATGAGTAGCCTGCCTCATATCAGGGACATAAACAATGAACTGTGAAGTCTGATCACAGCTTTTTTTACAAAGCAGAGATGTTGAGGTTATACATACCAGTTTTTTTTTTCAGGCATTAACTCTTACTAGATAGAAGTTTTAAGCTAGGCATATATTCATCTGAAGGACTAATTCTTGGTTTGTTTACATGTTTGCCTTTTTTTGGCGTTGCCTGAGTTGTGTGTTCTTGTTTATATTTCTCATCTAGGTTTATTTTATCTGTGTATATAAAGGTTTTGCCCTGAATCCCCCCTCCCTCCCCAACACGCGCACGCACACACACACACAGGAAGACAGGCATCTTCCTGAAGAAGTGTACACAAGGCCTTGTAGTTTTGCTCTTTTTGTTAGTCTGGGATGTTTGCATTGATCATGGAGGGGCAACTGAGGCCCACTTACGATCTGGATGGGCCTGACATTTGGAATGCTGATACTTCCATAAAGTCTCTTACTGTATTAGCTATGGTCCATGGGGTGGTTTTTCAGTTTTATCACATTGGGGACAGGTTTTCCTCCACTCGTTTCTAATAATGTTTTGATAAATAGGTTCCTGTATACTGGTGCGTGTGCCTTGACCCTTTTTGCATCGAATAATTGTGTGGAAAGTAACTCCATAATTGCCATAGCCGAACAATAAAGCTTTGAGATCTACATGTTTAAGCAAGTAATTGTTTTTTCTGTTCATTGACTATCGCAGAGTAAAGGAATATGCCTTCACTGCAAAAAGCTCTGCCTCCAGAACTTGCTGATAATGCACTCAGAGTAAGGCTCCTTTCACACCTTTGTAATAGACAGGAACTGACCCTCAAAATGAGTTGTACATGGTAGTCACTTCTGAAGTTTCACTTCTGGAGTCAGAGTAGCACCATCCATGACTTTATCCTTTTAGCTTCAGCTTTTGCAAATCACATCTGGTACTCCCCGTGCGGCCCAACTCTGCAGTATTATGTTTATAACAAGAAATTTTCATGAAACAGGAAAAAAAATGAAATCATAGAATCTGAGTAAGAAAATGTTTAATTGCTTCTTATAATCTGTTTCTGTCGTGTTGTAGTTATTCCGCGAATGCTTAAGGAGGGCTAAGTTCATTGGCAATCAGGTGTGCATATTTTCTCTTGAACTATCTTGTTATCTTGTTACTTCTTAACACAAACCCAGCTCGCTCGGTTCTCCTCGACAGACCAAGTATATTTAATCCTGAGAGTGTTCTGTGAGAACTAACAGTTTAATTGCACCATCATCAGCTCCTTTGCCATTTAAATATCCATAAGTGATTATTTTGAATTACTCCGCACTGTTTACTTTGCTGAAAACTGCTCCAAGGTATCAATGTTTCTCTGGCAGCATTATGTGTGAGTGTGTGTATTTGTTTTAAGGCACTTGAAATGATCTTCATATTTATAATGCACCTGGAACATGCATATTTTGTGTTTTTATCTACATGATGAAGGAGAATCAGTTCCACAGCATAGAATAAAATGCCATTGCAACCAGAACCAAAGTCCTTTTCACCCTCGATGTTATGGCATCGTATGACCATATGAACACTCACGCTTGACAGAGCTGTTGTTTTTGTTGGCCCAGCAACACAACACGGGGCTTCTCGTTTCCATGGTGAGGCAACAGTTCAAGAAAAACATGCATGAGACTGATCCAGAGAAGATACAGAAGATGAAGGACGAGTAAGTGACTGCTCCATGGACAAGTTCAGTTCCTCGATGTTCCTTTCCTTTTTTATTCTCGCCGCAACATGTCCTCTGAAACTCTTTATTGCTTTGCAGTGCGGCAAGGGGCCTTATCAATCACATCATATACGAGTCCGAGAAGATGACAGGGCGCAAGTTCTCGGGTTAAGACAGTTCAGTTCTTGGATGTTCCTTTCCTTTTTTATTCTCGGCATACACCGTATGAATAATATATGACCAGCTGATGCTTCACCATTTTTTTTCGCACTTCTACTGCGGTTCTTGATGTAATTGGCGCGCACATGCTTAGCGCTAGCTGGTTTGGTTGATCTTTAGGTCTCTTCCAAGCGTGGAGATGAAGATCTTCAACAAATTTTAGTGCTTCAGTCAGTGTGAAAACACACGTGCAATATTTTTTTTCTTCTGATCTTTTTAGGGGAATTTCCTTCTGATGCATTGAGGCAGCTTCATCATGTTTAACTTCTACCAGGAGGCCCATCCATCCGTTGCCATTTCGAGCCCAACACAGCCAGACTCGCACACAGCGGCACAACGCTAGCATCTTCTTCACCCACCCATTCTTTAGTCCCACCTCGCTTACCTGAGCGAAACCAGACCAGCTTATATACCTTCGCGGTTCGCCAGCGGAGCAATGACGAGGGTGAAGTGTTGGTCCAGTCCTAGGGCGAGTGGCGTTAGCGTAATGAGCTGCACGGCTAAGTGCGCGTGATCAACCCTAAAAGGACGCGCGCTCCCTCTGCCCACTTGGAGGTCGACGCGCGGGTATGACTTTCCAAACGAAAGGCTTGTTTCCCTGTGCTTTGGCCTTGATAACATAAGCACAGCCCTACGCAGGCGCCACTCCTCCTACGACATTTGGATGAGTTTGCTGGGCTGGCGGTGGGCCTCGGCCCTATATATCCCCGCCCAACAAACAGTAGCCCTCTTTTTTGTTATTTTTCCTTTTCTTTCTAAGACTTGTATACTCCCAAGCCAACGATAAGGGCTTGGGGTATCAATTATCCTCCTATCTAAATATTGCAAGATTGTACTCCAAACCTTGAGTCAAACTAACGTAATTGAAGCTAGTTTGACTCAAGGTAATCGGTGATGAAGATTCCATAGTTACCTTGTAAAATAATAGCGTGATTTGCAATGACAAAAAACTTTGCGCGTCATGTAAATTGCAAAACCATCTTCTCTACAAACGATGCCACAATTGTGGTGGCTTCATGCAGTTAACTCTAATAAAAACACGTTAATTGTTGGGTAATGCAAAAAACTTTAAGTGCTGGTATTCAAGTATATTTATTAGCATAAGAATAGGTAGCTTCCAAATGCAAATTAGGAATGTGCTCGTTTTCAATATCCAATTTCTTTGTTTCTTAACCAACTACTTTTACCCCTTTGCTTATTTTAGGGAGTAATACTGCGTGCTTAAGAGGGTTCCTCCATCTCCCGCCGGCACCGCCGCCGGTGCACCTCGTCTCCGGTGGCCTTAGGGCCATGGCGACATGGTGGATCCCGACTCTTATATTTTTAAATGTTCCTTTGAGTCTTGTTAGGGTGTGTGTCCTGCTGAGGAAGACGAGACGCCGACGGCTCTCTGAAGATGGAATAAGGTTTTCCCCGCCTAGCCCCCGTCCTAGTGGTGTGCCTAGCATCGTCGGTGGGCGTGCAGAGGTGTGTCTTCGGCAGATCTATCTTTGGTGGATTTGCTCAGATCTGGTCATAGTTTGTCTAGGTTCGTGTTTCTTCAGGTTGGATCCTTCCGATCTACGCTACTCTTCTTCAGCGGCGGTTGTTGTTCTGGTGCATCGGTCCTAGGGGGCCTTAGCAGGACGACTTCCCAATTGTCTACTGCAACAAGCTTGTAGTCATCGCTATGTGGTCCACGAATCTGAATGTAATTTTTATTATTTATGGTGTGTGTTGTACTGTCATGATTGAAGATGAGTAGATCAGAAGTTTTCTCGCAAAAAATACTTCGTGCTTAAGAATCTAGTG